GATGGATGGATGGATGGATGGATGAATGAATGAATGAATGAATGAATGAATGAATGAATGAATAAATGAATGGATGGATGGATGATGGATGAATAGATGTTAGATGGATGGATGAATGAATGAACGAATGGATTGATGGATGATGGATGGATGGATGGATGGATGGATTATGGATGTTAGATGGATGAATGATAGATTATGGATGAATGGATGGATGATGGATGAATGAATGAATGGATGGATGTTAGATGGATGGATGGATGTTAGATGGATGGATGGATGGATGGATGGATGGATGTTAGATGGATGGATTATGGATCGATGATGGATGGATGGATGGATTATGGATAAATGGATGGATGATGGATGAATGAATGAATGGATGGATGGATGGATGATGGATGAATAGATGTTAGATGGATGGATGGATGGATGGATGGATGGATGGATGGATGGATGGATGGATGGATGAATGGATGGATGAATGGATGGATGGATGGATGGATGTTAGATGGATGGATGGATGGACCTTTGTCCCTAATCTCCTCTGAGGACACAAACAGAAACGAACCAACCACAGACCGCTTTGGCCCGGACTCACCCCAGCGTGGTCATGGTGACGATGGTGTACCAGAAGGAGGCGGGGATGGAGGTGAAGGTGGAGCCCTTGGTGCCCTTCTCGGCGTAGAACATGACGGTGGCGAAGATGATGATGGCCATGGTGAGGGAGAAGAGCAGGAAGCCCAGCTCGGAGGCGCAGCTCTTCAGCGTGTAGCCCAGGATGCGCAGGCCCTGCGAGTGCCGCGAGAACTTGAAGATGCGGAAGACCCTGAAGACGCGCAGCGTGACGAAGGCGCCGCTCACGTCCTCGTTCTCCGGCATCACCAGCCCGATGTAGTAGGGCATGATGGCCACCACGTCGATGACGGACATGACGGAGCGCATGAAGCGGCAGCGGCTGGGCGCGGCGAACAGCCGCATCAGGTACTCGAAGGTGAAGATGAGCACGCAGGCCGTGTCCATGCAGAAGAAGGCCAGCGAGTACTTCTCCCCGCAGGGCAGGTCGCGCACGCCGCCCGCCGCCGGCCGGCACGGCACCGTCTCCACCACGTTGGCGATGACCGACACGGCGATGAAGAAGCCGGTGACGTAGTAGAAGACCAGCGCCATGGTGGAGGTGTGCGGGTTCTCAAAGGCGCGCCACAGACGCTCCCGCGAGGAGCTGTGGGGGGG